TTTAATTCAATATCCGCTTTGAATCATCTGTTGAACTAACTTTACATCTTGCAGATCGTCTTGTTTAAAGAAAGGCCAACCTTGTTCTGGGAAACCCCGGTGTAAGTGTCTAGACTTGGAAAGTAATCATGATTTTATAAACTACAATGGTTTTGTTTTGTCGATGAAATTATGATAGTTCCATTTTGAAATCCGAACTAAAATGCATTAGAGATCAAGTTTTGTTTTGTTTGTTTTCTATCCCTGCTTTTTCATTAAGCTTAGTCATTTTTCTTAATGAACTATTCACTTTCACTGTGTTTCTGCAGTTCATTCACTGTTCATAAACTGTGGAGGACCTGAAATAGAATTTGAGGGCAATGAATATGAAGCCGACCTCAATCTACGAGGCATATCAAACTATGTTGTTAGTGACGATGGCAAATGGGCATATAGCAGCACTGGAGTATATCTAGGAAGGGATAAGGCTGATTATGTTGCAAACAATCAGTTTAATCTGAAAATTAATGGCTCTGAATACTACCATACAGCCCGCATGGCCCCACTATATCTTCATTATTATGGTCTTTGTATGCTGAATGGAAATTATAAAGTGAAACTTCATTTTGCTGAGATAACATTCTCTGATGACAATTCATTTACCAGCCTTGGAAAGCGTGTGTTTGATGTTTCAATCCAAGTGAGTAATGAAGCAAACAATTGGTTTCATATATTATGTTAGGACTTAAATGAGTCTCAAGACACATCAAGTGGCTCATCCTAGTGATTCTTTACATGTTAGACTCGTTTTCTATCTGGTTTTCCAATTAAGCAAGAGTTCTGAAGGTAGATATTTTCATCACTGTACATTGACAGGGTTTTAAATATTTGAAAGATTTTAACATTGTGGAAGAAGCTGGTGGAGTTGGTAAGGGAATCACTAAGGAGTTTAATGTGAATGTTACCCACAACACCTTGGAAATCCACTTATCCTGGGCAGGGAAAGGAACTAATGCTATTCCTGAAAGAGGTATATATGGACCTCTTATATCTGCTATCACTGTGACCCCAAGTAAGTAGCTTTGATAACAACGGTTTGATCTCTATGAAATCAAGAAATACCTTGTCTTTTCATGTCAAGTAAACATTTCCACTTTGATGTAGACTTTAAAGTTCCTTCACATGGACTGTCTACTGGAGCAATTGCTGGAATTGTGGTTGGGATATGTGTGTTCATCATATTGATACTCTTTGCACTTTGGAAGATGGGTTTTCTATGTGGGAAAGATGAAACAGACCAAGGTAAGATTATATTCCAAAGGAAGTTGGTGCCCTTATGACTTGGTTTTTGGTCATACTAGGTTCAGATTGGTTTGAAGTCAATCATGACGAATATGCATTTGTTATAGTCTTATAATATTGTAACAGACATACTTCTGTAGATATTAATAGGTTTAATCCTATACTACATCCCTATTTATGTACGAATGTCTCAATTGGGTCCTCGTTTTTTAAAGTGTATCAAAATGGTCCTTAATTTTGAAAATTGATATCAATTGAGTCCTTCCCGTTAAGTTGGCTGGACGGCGTTAAAAAAATTGATGAGTGGATGCTGAGATGGCGAACGAACGCTCGTCCACCAGCGAACGAACGCTCGTCCACCAGCGAACGAACGCTCGTCCACCAGCGAACGAACGCTCGTCGACCTCTTACTGCTGGACGACCGTTCGTTCCACACTGGAATACCGTTCGTTCGGTGGTCGACGAGCGTTCGTTCGCTGATGGACGAGCGTTCGTTCGCTGGTGGACGAGCGTTCGTTCGTCATCTCAACATCCACTCATCAATTTTTTTAACGCCGTCCAGCCAACTTAACGGAAAGGACTCAATTGATATCAATTTTCAAAATTAAGGACCATTTTGATGCACTTTAAAAAAACGAGGACCCAATTGAGACATTCGTACATAAATAGGGATGTAGTATAGGATTAAACCATATTAATATCAGATTATATTACAACAAAAAGTTTTACTGCAAAGATCTGAATTATGGTGATTTTAAGTTCAGAAAAAATGTACACTTGGGTTCTCATGAAAACAGTTCTGTAATTTCTCTCTTTTTACTTGATACTTTTCATTGAGTAGCTACATCTACCTTGTTGCAGAACTTCTAGGTTTGAAGACAGGTTATTTCAGTTTAAGACAGATTAAAGCTGCTACTGATAACTTCGATCCTGCAAATAAAATAGGTGAAGGAGGCTTTGGACCAGTATACAAGGTAACTTTGGATAGATTACAATCATCTCAAGCTGTATGAAGTTTTGAAAACATTGGGGTTGACTCTTTTATCCCCAATATTTTACAAATAAAAACATGTACTGATGACATTGTTTATTCACAGGGTGTGCTGTCAGACGGTGCTGTGATAGCTGTTAAGCAGCTTTCATCTAAATCAAAGCAAGGGAATCGCGAATTCATCAATGAAATAGGCATGATATCTGCTTTGCAGCATCCAAATCTTGTGAAACTTTATGGCTGTTGCATTGAAGGAAACCAGTTGCTTCTAGTATATGAATACATGGAGAACAATAGTCTTGCTCGTGCACTGTTTGGTAAATGCTTCATGAACATCTTTGGTTGTGTATGCCGCTACCAAATTAAATCCAACTGAAAAAGCTTTTCTCTTTTAGGTAAAGAGCATGAGAGGATGCAATTGGACTGGCCCAGAAGAATGAAGATTTGTGTGGGGATTGCAAAGGGATTAGCTTATCTCCATGAGGAGTCAAGGTTGAAAATAGTACACAGGGATATTAAAGCAACCAATGTCTTACTTGATAAGCATCTGAATGCCAAGATCTCTGACTTTGGTTTAGCCAAACTTGACGAAGAAGAGAATACCCATATCAGTACAAGAATAGCTGGGACAATGTTAGTACTATGCCAAACCATTGTAGACTTTGTTACTTATGTCATTGTTTTTTGAAATAACTGACACGGGTACTAAATGTTTCTTACCAGTGGTTACATGGCTCCAGAGTATGCTATGCGGGGTTACTTGACTGATAAAGCAGATGTCTATAGCTTTGGTATTGTAGCTTTAGAGATTGTTAGTGGAAAGAGCAACACAAATTACAGGCCAAAGGAGGAGTTTGTGTATCTTTTGGATTGGGTAAGTTACACTTTAAATGTAGACATTATTAATGTTTCTCTTTTCTGATATTGTGGTTTACTTTCTTGATTCATAGTTTATGATTTGGTTGAAGTGTTGTAATACTATTTGTTGCATTTCATTCAAGGCCTATGTTCTCCAAGAGCAAGGAAACCTTCTGGATTTGGTGGATCCAAGTCTTGGTTCAAAGTACTCCTCAGAAGAGGCCATGAGAATGCTACAGTTAGCACTCCTTTGTACCAATCCTTCTCCCACTCTTAGACCACCTATGTCATCGGTAGTGAGCATGCTTGAGGGAAAAACTCCAATTCAAGCACCACCAATAATCAAAGGTAGTGACAATGCACAAGATGCAAGGTTTAAAGCCCTTGAGTTCTTATCACAAGACAGCCAAACTCATGTCTCTTCTGCTTTCTCACAAGATAGTATAGAGCAAAGAAGCAAGTCAATGGGGGGACCATGGGTTGATTCCACCATATGATATCTGTAGCAAGTAGAACCGATCATTCTTCTGATAAACTTATTACAACTCCAAATGACGAGTGCTTCCAAGTTGGGGCAGTCAACTCACCAAATTCGAATTCTTTTGTAAAGGATATGAACAAAAACTAGTTACGCTGATAACATACATACAAAACTATGAAGTCAAACATCCGGTTTCAAAGTGTACAGAAAATTTTTCTTTGTTGCTTACTAAAGGTTTTCCCTACCTTTGTCTAATCGATATGGCATTCAATTTCAATTAAAATTTCAAAGCTCCTTCTGAGTGATTTCTTGGGCTTGAAATGCCTCTATTTGATAGCAAGAAAGGTTGAATATCGTAAAACACAATCAAATGTAGTTTTAGGTAGATATTATTGTTGAGTAGACATCGATGATCCTGAAGGCTTATATATATGATCACAGACTTAAAGTGTGACACAATTGCATCAAGATTATTAGGCTTGGACATGTCATAATTAAGCATTACTGTACGGTATAACATCCTTCAGACGTTTGGTTAAGGATATGTTTAAATAAACCTTTCCTTAATTGTAAGAATAAAAAGTAACTACTTTATTTAATAAAGTAAAATTAACTTTGACAAAAATTCATGAAAAACTCCAACAAAAGTTAAATGTAGAGGCTGATTTTAACTTAGTAGGAAATTTTAACATATTTTAACTTTTGTTATTCTGTAAGTATTTAAAAAGATTTTTTTCTAAATGATCGAATCCAATCAAACTTAAATACAAAAATAAATTATATTTTGACTTTGAAACCAATTGTAATAATATTCGCTGCAATTCATTCAAAATGAAAACCCAAATTCTAAAAAACCACGTAATAATTGGTGTATTTAAAGTTAATAATCTTTAGCCGAATGAAAGGAACCCAGCTTGTCAGAACTCCAAACACCAAATTGACAATTGAAACAGCCTACTTAAGTATGAATAATAATCTTCATCATGAAGAAATCAAAGTGTTATTAATTATTTTTCCTGTTCATATTACAGATGGTGCATTCCTGTTTCCTAGGACTAGAGCTCTTCTGGTTTTTTACATGCTCCACTTCCAATGAAAGATCAATTAAGAACAATTTTGTCGGCGACCTGATTGAACCAAAACATGTTTGTTCTAGATCGAGATTATTTAATTCAGCTTGAGTTCAATTTTGAAGAAATATGAATCAAACCAAAAAAAGAAAAAAAAGAAGATCGATTTGGATTCTAATTTTAACTTGGAAAAAATCTAATCGACCTATGAATACCCTTAAGGAGAAGATTAAGTTCTTTTACAAAGGGAAAATCCTTCCCTAGTAAATAATATTAGCAACCATTAGTATGTGAATATTAATACTAATCTAAGAAAAAATAACAATGAGAAATCCTACAATATTTGGAATCGAACTTCTAGAAGTTAAAGCCTGCAAAATAGTTAGAAATTCAATAGTAAGTACAAAGCTCCAAAATGACAAACTAATACACTACCAACCAAGGCAGAACTTTCTATTCACATAAGACTGTAAGCTTTGTTGTTAGGATTTTTTCTTCTTCTTCTGGATTTCCTGCAATTACTGTTCCAGGAATCAAACCTATGTACACTTCATGCAAAATATAAACAGATCGTACCAAACACTAGAACGCTATCAAAACTCAATGCCACTATTTATTTGAATGGAGAAGGAAGGGCGCCCAACGGTGGAGAGAGGTACATCAACTCTTAGAACAAGACCTGAGTTCCCCACATTTCCATTCCACTTTGATCTTCCAATCTGTACAACACAATATAAAAGAGAGGCGAACCATTTAGATTATGAAACAAAACAAAATCCTTTCACAGTAAACTTTGGAAATAATAGTCAACAATTAGTGCCAATAAAAATCTACAATTGTAATAAAGCATCAAATAATGAATAACAATGATAGATATTCGTGAACTGGTGTAGTAATTTTCAAGCCACTAGTATGTTAAACACTAAAAAAATTGCTTCCTATTTGCTTACTCACCTACATATAGTAACGAGCAAGTACCTTTGATGCTCAGATACAACAAGTTATTCAAATTTAAGATACCTTAAAAATTCATAAATTATTTAATTCAGATATAAAATATTGGTAAATAGACATTGATCCTTTCTTATGATTATCACAAATTACATAAAAGACATTTGTGAATATAACAAAAGAATTTAGTTTTTATCAATATCATAGTCAATCTTGACTAACTATATCAATATTGACTCTACACATTTAGTAGCTTACAATTCAGAAACAGCAGAAGCTCCTTATTCTATCATAAACATGTTTTCACAACATTAGGAAACATCTAAAATGAGTCCTGCATAATTCAGGAAGTGATGCTCATTCAGAAACAACTTACAGATACTGAAGCAAATGCAGAAGGATAGGTCATGAAAGCACATCCACAAATTAGATTAAGTTTCTCTTTAACTGAATGAATGAGCTCTGCCCGCAACCCTGGATTGCTTCCCCCAAGAGTAGGACACAAACTGACCAAATAGCAATTATAAAAAAAATATCAGGGTGCATCAAAGAAATTGCAAATATACGTTTCGGAGACAATAATGAAAAACACCAAAAGATTATATGCTTTGGAAACATTTACACAATTAATGCATGCTTTAATTTGCAGAATTTGTATTTGCCAACAGCTTTTTCTTAAAAGCTTAAGCTCTTCCAGTAAGATTTTGATTAAAAATAATTTTGAAAAAAAAACAAACTAATCCAAAACACACTTAGTGATTATTAAAGAATACAAATATAACAAAGTGGGCTAAGGCCCACCAAGTATTGCATGACCCCATTGCACTAGATTAAAAACCAGTTTTTCAAAGGAATAAGGATATTATTCACCATAAGATCCTTTTTTTAAAAAAAAATATGTGTTCCTCAAAATATTTTGAACTAAATGGTTTTGAATACAGAGGCAAAGTGGATACAAAAACAAAAAACAAAAAAAAAAACAAAAGACAAAAAAAAACACATTGGTAATCAGGAGACTAGAAGTTATATATTACATATCCAAATTTCTCAATTCTAAAGTAAATCTTACTATGGAATCGAGCATGGCAGCTTACAGAGTCCATTGCTTCGTGAAACAGGCTTAAAACAAAGAAAGACAACTTCGAAAGCCTTATTTTCCTCACATGAATGCAACCATCAAACTAAACTACATTTTATTTATTTAGATAATGAACTATACTTTCAAAACTGTGGCATACTACATGAATACAACTGTTGAATTTCGTAGCGAAGAAACTTCATCCACAGTTGGAGGAGAATTTCTCATCTAAATTGGAGAAATTAGTTCTAAAATGTCAAAGGAAGTAGACAAGCAAGCAATCATCACATCCACAGATAACTTCAACTACGTAAAGCAGCACAATAATTTTCTACAATAGGTAACGTTAAGAAAGTGCCTTAACACCTATGATAACCACAGTGTACCATCGTCCTTTTCCCCCAGCCCCAAATGTGACATCTTACCTGAATTGAACGGATGGTCTCACCATGAGACCAGATCGCTTCCAGGCCAAGGCTTGAGCAAGACCCAAAGAAAATGATTTGTCAGGCCATTGTACCATTGGTGTTATTCTTGTTCCCCACTTGTTCTAAAACAATTGGAGAGTAGCCAATATTAAATCCATGCACAAGAAAAATAGTTCAGGCTAACATATTGTGAACTTCAAACATCATTTACTCAGAGTCTTCAATAACTTGAATTCTAACCTTGCATGAAAAGCTGAATCTCATTTCCCCAGGATATTGACCCTGAGCTTGAAGAAGACCTCCGCAAACAGGAAGGAAAGCACTGGTACTTAGACCCTCACCAGATACGTAGGTTAGTTGCCCATTAGGAAATTGAAGATCCACAAATGACTGGGTGCAGAAAGAGGGAGAAAAATAATTAAGACAGGAAAGTTATTTCAGGGGGATAAAACAGCAGACAAACATTAATCTTAGTTTTTTACTGATTTATGCCAAGAGATTCGCTCGTGTAAGAGTAAGTTATATTTTACCTAAATGTCAAATTCAGTATTTCATCATAATAATCAATAATTTCAGTGGCACTATAGCCGAAAGATTTTAAAAATAGTGGACATAATAGATGTGATTTTTCCTTGGTATAGTGGAATTACCATGAAATAAGCTTTAAAGACCAACTTTTGCCCCCTAAAAATTAGTTGAGTTACTTTGGGTAAAATTGTGATTTATCTCCCCATTTTCTAAAGTCTTCTTTTGCATCATGATAGAATTCAAAACCCTTCTTCCTTGACCGTTCCCGAAAAAGATACCTTCTTTTTGAGTCTTTTTGACCATTCTTCCTACACATTTCACAACATTACTCTTTTACTTGTGCTCTGATCTCTCTTCTTCCGTTAGACTTTCTAGTTCATATTACCCAAAGTTATATGTTCTTTACCAACTAATTTCTCCATCTTTCATTTATTTACCTCATTAGTGTGTACAATAATACAACTTATTTTGTATTATAATATTTAAAATAGCAGTCATCCCACTTTCTTATAAGGAGTTTTCAAAGTTGGTCACTACCGCTACTTATAACTAAGGTTTTAAATCCAATCCGAATTAATTAGTTTGTAACCACCTTTGAATAGTACATCCATTGAACTAGTTTTGATATTTGAAAAATACCCAGCATAAACAGTTTTAAACCCTAACACCATATTTTAAAAACATTAAAGTGCCTAGTAATCTGCCTTTTGATGTTTGGCATAATTGGTGGTTCACTAATATTATAAATTTCATCATGGCACTGAATAAATAAATAAAAAATAGAACATACACTTTTAAAAGGCATCACAACAGCATAATCTAACAACTTACACAAGCTACGGGATTCAAACAAAGCATCGACATTAATAACCACCTTCTGTGCTTTGACCACACTGCAGGACAAAGGGAATGCATTCCATTCTGACACCAAAAATAATGACCACGTAAGCTAACAAAAAGCTATATTTGGGTGAGGAGCACTACATGGAGCATCCACAAGCAGTATAACAGAGATGATGGAGACCAAATAAGCAGCTCTAAAAAATAACTAAATAATTATACCGAGTCCGAGTAATTTCAACAAGAAAAACGAGGCATACAAACTATATTATAAATTGCTACTGTCATAAAAGAGGACATAAATTATCATAATGTTCAAGATGAATAGCCATACTAACATGGGGACATCATTTGAGCATACTTTACAATAGCTGGCTTGGATAGGAAATCCAACTCAATGAGCAAATAGTGCTCAATGATTAAATGCATATGGTATAATGAAGGCCACATGCTAAGAAAAGGTTAGAAGTATCACTGTCCAACACATATCTGATACCAATAACACATTCAATCCATCCCAATATGCATCCAAAAAATATTGATTATGTTTATAGAAAATTACATGATATGACCGTGCAATTCAGAGTACAACATACTGAATAGACACTTACCACGATTTTTGTTTTTAAACTGTTAATTTTTTTCTGCCTTAACCTTTCACTCTTCTACCTTGTAAATTGAACCAAATCATGCAATTAAACAGGCTCCCCAACTCAACCACGACTAGTAGAGTTTGAAAACAACACACCCATACCAAATGCATCTAAGGTAGTGAATAGTAGGCAATTATACAGGGCCAAAACTTCTTTTTTGATGAGGCTATTGATGTTTTTGTCATATTCTGATGATTCTAGCTGGGACAGGAAAATAGTATACTTTTATGATATGCTTATCTTGGAAAAAAATATATGATAATATGGGTAGAGGAAACATATGTAACTGTGCTTACTTGTTATGGTCGTATATGTTTATTATAAATGTGATTGTAGCAAAGTCTAATCAGCCAAAAGAATGTTATCTTTACCTTTCTATCATAGCCATACCACAACAAGTGCTGCTTTGACAAATGAACAGGCAAGAGGAGTGTTGAATCACGGATAAAGAGAAGAGGTCCAAGCTGAACTAAGAAAAGAGATGAATTTTCATTTCCAGTAGTAGAACCACCATGTGATGCTTCTAGTCTCCACAAATCTCCCCTTGCAACTAAAGAACCTTCCACTTCTTGAGTTCTGCTATCATAAGTTGATGTAAAATTTATTATCCCCTGTACAAGACAAAATATAACACGTCAATGAAATAAATAGAGTAAAACTTCAACAACGAAAAAAGAGAATTTAGTCATACAAAGCACAGATTCCAGAGCTTGCACATTTTTCACAAACATTTCAAAATAAATGTTGAAAATAAGAAATATTTCTGAACAATCAATCAAAATTTGAAAACTAGTAGGCAATATATTAAATTGTACCATGGAGGAATCGATATAAGTTTCTGCCCGAGAAATTATAACTTAACAACAAGGTCAATAATACAGTTGCTACGCTCAATTGCTATTGCTGTCTATGTCATAAACAAATAATTTACTCTGACCTAGTTAGTGCAAGTAGTCATTATTAAAATTCCAAGATTTATGCAGCACATATCACAGGACAAATTGACGGCATTGACGAGAAACAAAAGTCCATGTACAGATTTTACAAATGATATAGAAACCATTTGCTCAACTGTTGCATTTCCATTATCTAACATATGACTTGTGCAACTATACTAAGACCCAAGATGCCACTGCACATCTCGATCATAAATCCCAAAAAGAAGCAGAAGCAATGAACAGAAAATAACTCCAATGCAAATTCAAGCACGTTAACAATTCTCTGCACCTCTGATAGGGGCTCAAGAGTTCCCCACGAGTTTGGATTCTCAAACAAAAACATAACAAAATGACCAAGGACAGAACCTCCTCAAAATGACATTTAACACCAAAATCTCACCATCAAAGACACAACCTAATCAGAATAACCACTAGATCTGAAACAGAACAAAATTTTAGAAATATAAACAGTTTCTTCTGCGCATGAACACCAGAATTGCACAGTAAACCATAGCTAGTAACTACTTCAATAGCTCCTCTACAATCACAGATGCTCCCCTTCCATTACAAAAACAACTGTTTTATCACACCATCAATAAACAAGAAATTAAACAGCAATGGTTGATCACTTCCACATCCAAAAAAACAAACATATAGTCCACATCCCAAAATAGTGTATGCAAATGAACAGAAAAACCAAACATATAGTCCAAAACCAAGGGTTTTTACCTGACGCCTGCCCAGAAGACCAATAGAGCCAACGTTAAACCCACCACCACCCTCTTCCTCAGCACTTCCACCGCTAGCGCCACTAACACTCTCAGCAAACCCATGATTTTTCAACCTCTCGCTAAGCGACCCCAACCCCAAATCCTCCGGCACAGCAATCCCGACTCCTCCTCTCTGCCACCCCTTATCCCCACCCTCCACCCTCACCGAACTCTCCTCATGCTTGAACGGCACTGGCACCGGCAACGACCGGAAAAACTGCTGAACCAGGCCATTCAAGCTGGCCCCAAAGTCCGCCCCAGCCTGCCCGATCCTGTTCCCGATGTCAAAAATCGCCGACACGCCATTGATCCCGTACTCCTGAGTCGCCAAAGCGAAGTCCCTCTTCCCGAAGCTCTGCGTTGGAAACTCCAGATCAAAGAGCTTCGATTGCGGAGGGTTCGGCCACGAGAATTGCGTAGAATTTATATGCGTATGAATTAATCCGCTGAAACCCTGGGCAAGCCGGTCAGCCAGGTCCTGCCCGTGACGCTGCACCTCTTCCCATGCCTCAAACGACCTTTCCACAGACATCTTCTTCCTCAATAAAACTCACTAACTTTCCATGATCTTTAGGGTTTCACTTACAATCACAAATCTAATTTAAACAACAAGGACTCAATCGAATCAAAGCATCGATGAAGGAATCTGAATCTACCTCTACTATATTTCAAAACAAAAATAGAAGACAAAGAACAGATTCTTCTACAACAAAAACTAACAAACTTTTACAACTGGCGTAGGGTTTCCGTTTGGGTTTCACTTAAACTCGCAAATCTAATGGAGAGAAAACGAATCGAGGAGCGAAAAGACTAACCTAAAAGAAAGTAACAGGAATCAAATACACAAGAAGAAGAGAATGTTGGTAAAAGTTGAAAAACCAACGAATCAAAGCGATAAACAATGAATTTGGATGATGCGAGGGTTGTGGTGGCGGTTGCGAAGTGAAGTAGTTGAAGGAAACGGTGAGAATGATAAATGGAAATGGAAAGGGGTGCGTGATACGCACTGGGTTTGGTTTACCGACACGTTGCTTACGATTAGCGTAGTGTAGTGGATGAGGAGGACCAAGATTTTTTTTTTCTTTTTTTGAGCTGAATGAAGCGCTACTGATAAAAATGTAATAATGGAGAATGGAACCGGTCTCCAGAAAAAATGAACCCAAATGCTCAACCAATAAGAACGCGTGAATACTCGACACATTACGTGTGCCCACACCACAAAAGCAAATTTAATCTCCCATTTTTTTAGATTTTTTTATTAGCATGGAAATGTCAATTCACTTTAAAATATAATTCTATTTTTTTGTCTTTATATTTAATAATCAAATAAGACATCCATAACTTAATGGAGATTTTTAAGGTTTTTGTAATTTTCAGTTTTGTTTCCAGAATTTTAAAACAAAAGATGTTGAGTTACAATAGAGTTGAATTAGGTTTTACTTTTGTTTAAAATAAAAGGCTTTAAAAGAACACAAATTTGGTTTTTCGACTACATTTTTTATGTTGCCAATCTGATGTACTTTTTCAAATATAACTAATTTTATGTTTTAACGTAGTCTTTAATATTAAAATGACAAGCTGAGTTTAGATTTTATGCTTTTATTTTTGCATGAACATCTGTTAAACCATTCTTATTATTATCTCTTACACCACCATAGAAAGTACAAGTAAAAGCTATTTTTAAATTTTTAAATTTTATGTTATATATATAAATTTTTGTAATGATGAATCTTACTATTCACAATACAAAATAACTCATCATTCAAGCCCAATATTTAATATGTATATGGATTCAAGATTATATCATTCTGCTATTTCCTTTTTCCCTATTTCCCTCCTCCAAACTCCCTCTAAGAAAATGAAATAGAACCGAGAAGAACCTAGAAACAATAAATAACCCCAAACATAAGATAAAGATTAAAAAAAAAAAGACTACTGGAATCTTCAAAAAGACTCATGATATATTTTTCTGTATAAGGTTAAAAAAATAGTCAAATACAAACAATAGAGACAATCCTCCATTGCTCTTGACTATATCCTAAAAAGGCCGTTGAAATCCTCCTAAACTGAATAAAGAATGAAGGAATGCTGATTCACTAAGTACAGGGAAACTCACAAATGTACCCAGAAGCGCGCACCTTATGCACCTTATCATTACAAAAATATATGCCAGCGCCACGCCAGCCCAGTAATACGTTCCCAATGTTCCCTTGAAGTGTATAAGTGGCATGAAATTGCTTGAAATCCACACTATCTGCAGAGCAAGTTCCAGCAACATTCCCATCATTACATGGAATCTGAAGATAAGGGGCAAATCCTTGTTTTTCACCACCCATACAATAGCCACATAGCAATATAACATAGGGAACCAGTTTGGTAATCGGTTGACAGCTCCTGGGATATAAAAAATCAAACTGTGAAACAATGGAAATTTTTCAAGGATGGGTTCTAGATAAATCCCAGCTGCAGATATCTGCAATGCTATCAGATAGGGAACACAGGATAAAGCCCTCCACCACCATTCTGGCTTCTCAGCATTTGATGGGATTCGGAAACCAGAAGAATGATATGTAAATGCTTGTCCACGGACAGTAGAATTGCGTCTTTGAGACCTAGGAAATCTGAGTGAGAGGCGAGCTTCTCTAACGGTAAATAGTGGTGACGAAACTGCAGTGAGTTGGATAGTTGATTTTCCTGATATGAAGAATTTGGGGATTAAACAAATAGAAACAATTTTTAAGCACTCGAACTAAACAATATATGCAATTTCAAAAAGGGATAGCATCTAGATGCCATGGTGAATAAATGTCTCAACGTTGAAATGAACCAAATGTAACGAGGAGTTTAATTAAATCAACATACAAGTTTCAACTATCTTCTCATTTCATTATTCCGATAGAAAATATTTTTGTTAGAGATCTTCTTTTATTAAAATCAATTTAATGGAGAAATTTAAATATTAAAATCAGATAGAAAATCCTTAAAAGATGCTGGAGAGCATGATGCTAACTTACCAAGTGCATTGCCTGCAAAAGCTGTGACGGCATAATTCTTTTTCCTGTTGATAATAGAGCATCTTTTTGGAATCAAATCTTTATTCCTAGTTTAAAGCCAATTTAAAGAAAATGAGTACCAAATGCAAATAGAGACAATGATTTAAAAACACCAACTTATAACTTTTATAGCCCACATATTCAAGTATTACATTGACAAAAAGCCTCTCTAACATGGCTCAATTACGACAGAAAAGCTTAAAAATGTGTCCTAATTCTCAAAAGTCTAATTGTAACAAGGTCTTTTTGTGTATAAGCTAACTGGGATTTAACCTAATGAGCGCACTTCGCAGTTCAAGATTATTGCAAATTAGCACACCTACCAAATCAAATGCCCTTCCATTTAAGTCCCAAGAGGCAGATACTTGAACCATCATTTACTTATTTAAATTAAAAACTAAAAACAATGACCCTACTACATGTGTAAAGGCCTATGCTCTGCCCATATGGTTAAGGGGACCTCAAAACTCACGGACAGTGAAAAACCACCACCATAATTCAATAACTAATAACCATGATCTCAATTTAATGCTAGAAATTACAACCCTCGGTATTTATGACAACAAGATTCAACATCATAAAAAACAAGAGGATTGATCAATCGCCAAATTCAATTGTTTGTCTAGGTGAAAAACTCCAGTGGCACATTGCTTACTTAAGAAAGATAATACATAATTGGTCATACTATTCCGTTTAGGTCGTCTTAAATTACAAACTTGGGTTTCCCACAAAAGAAGTTAAACAAGATAATGAAAACAAGACAAGAAAAGGCTCCTCTTCTTGAACTCATTGTGGATGTAAATTCATATAAATCAAAGGCTTACCATATGAGATAGTAAACATTCAACAACAACAGCAAATTATAAGATTAGAGGAAAATGAAAATTAGAAAATTTTAAGCTGTGAGAAACGTAAATACCTTGCTAAACAGAGAGAAGCAGAAGAGGGAGGAACGAGGAGAACAGAAGGGTGGGCTGTTGCCAATTGGGTTGTCATCTTCTCTCTTCTTTGACACTATCACACGAAAGAGAACAACATTATAAACACAAATTGATGTAAGTTTGCATATGATAAAAAAAATAAAAATCAATAGTTTAGCACCTAAATTTCATTCAATCCCCTTCTCAAGCATTCCATCGAACTCCTTGCATGCATTAGAAATTCAAGATAATAGATAAACTAAACTAATTCATTTCAATTGGAAACTAGAAGGTTTTTTGTTGTTCAAATAAGATGGCAGAGTCACACAACGCCGTGACTCTTGAGAAAGAATAACAGAAAATGGAGACCGATGAATTGGAAAGGAACACTATCTTTAGAAAATAACTTTTTAATTATAGTTAATTAACATTATTGCAAGAGGAAAAAAAAAAGAAACAAAACTTACAACAGAGGAGAGAGAAAGCGCAACACATATACACAGAGGTGGTAATGGAAGATGGAAATGAAAGTAAAGAATGTGTTTTCATTGAAATTGATTAGAGGAGGCGCATTTATATATATAGTAGTTCTTTACACCGCCTTACTGTATAACAGCCCCCATTCATTCCGGTTACGTTAGGTTTTATCCATATGTTTATACTAATTAATTTTAATTTAATGACATTTTTCAAAGATTTCTACCCTTTACATGCAAAATGAAAATATGATGAAAGGTTAAAAATGCATGAGAAACATTGCCCCAAAAATCCATTGAGTGTATATCAAAGCCTAGAGTAACATGGGATTATAGGACGAAATTTCCATTTCGTTGAGTGGATTTATGAAGAATTTGTCATCTTTGCAAAATTTTTAAAAATAAACTCACTCTTTTAATCAAACTACTTTTCCAAAAAGTTTCAAATGTTTAACTTGCATTGTTTCCGCATTACACCATTCCAACCAATTTTAACCACTTAACATTCCAAAATATAATATTAAAATATACAAAAATTATTACATATTTAACAAAATAGAACAATAGATAAGACAAAAAAATATAAAGTTATTACAATCATCTAAATAATCATAAAAAAAAATTTATATACAAAACTACTAATCAAAACTATATACATCCATAAAGTATAAAAGACTATACATCTACGAGTCCTCTTTCCAAAGTCTGCTCCATGAACACCTCATCAACCTCTGTGCATACCTACCGGATGATCATAATAAAAGTAAGAACAAGGAAACATAACAACAAACACAAACAAAAGGGTAAGTTAGATACAAAACAATTTATATTATACTTAAAACATTGCATACATAAATCATATAGAACATGAATCAAACCAAACGTTTTAACATGTAAGGACCTAGACGAGACTATCCAGATTTAGTATGAATGTCGAGCTATGACGGGTTGTTCACTTGTGGTGGCCTCTACTACTTTGCAAAGTCATTGTCAATGGGTTTCACCCTACCATGAGGTTAGTCTGTACCATGTCTTAGGTCATACTATAAGCACCTAGACTAAGATATCTTGTTAGCATAAAGCTAAAGAGCAGACATTTTGATGATGTCTCAAAGTCAAGTCTCAAGTGCTCTTATTTTTATATTAAAGCTTTTTACCGTTGTGCATTCATTAAATGCTTAATTAATTACCATAATTGGATAATTGATTATCACACGTTAATTAGTTGACAACGGAATTTTGGAGTTATCCTTGAGTGAGATCTCTATAAATTAGATTGGGACTCTCATTCTGAAATACAAAATACGAAATAAGTGTATTTCGGAAAATCTTATCTGCAGTGTGCGGTAATAAGTGTTACAAGGTTTGTCAAACCCTTGTGTTGTGGCTTTGAGAACTTGGCGTGTTGGCATAGAGCGAGAAATTTCACAGGGAGTGTGATTGAGTGTTGTTGTTGTTGCTGAGTTAAAAGCCTATCATCCTTCGTGAAGCATTCGAAGGAGGTGTTCATCCTTTGTGAAGATTCAGAGGAGGTGTTCATCCCTTGTGGGTTACATGGGAAGTGACTTTCATCTCTTGGGGTAACAAGAGAGGTGGTTTCTAAACTTTTACAAATTGTTTCTTTGTGATTGTAATTTGTAATTGTTTTGTGAGTAGTG